ATTCATCTATAGTATTTCCAGGTATCATTGTGCACGAGTATTCGACTTTCTCTACGATAGCCACACAATGACTTTCGTCCAATGATATAACAACTCTAAATAACAATTGATCAGTGTATTGAAGCATTAATACGTGTATAAAATCATTAGTAAATATTTTGAATCATTGATAACTGTATTGATATTTTAATAAGGTATAAAATCATTAATAAATGTAGCAAATCATAAATAACTGTATTAAACCTGTCTCTTATACACATCTAGATGTGTATAAGAGACAGGTACTGATATTATCTACTTATATTTCAAATTTGAAAAAAAATCCGTTCATAATTGAAGGAGTTATGAGTGCCAGAGTTGAAAATGAAGTTCGAGCTCGCAGGCGAGTTCGCACGCGAGTTCGCTGAAGTGTCGAATCGGTCGGACCGGTGAGGAAATCACATTTTCAACTAATCAAGGGACTAATTCGAAAGGTTTTTACACCACTTTAAACGCTTTGAAGCAGTTGTATTTGAAATTAGAGGTTTTCTAATTGCAGCTCTTCCATAGAATCCAGATTTGTGCAGCTCTCATCGGACAGTGTAATGGTATAGACTCCAGTTCTATAGAATATTTAGTAATCGAAATTGTTAAAGTAAAAAAAATTATTAGGATTTTTTTGTAATACTCAATTATTCAGATTTTTATTCATAGCAAATTAGTTAATTCATAATTAGTAGGTTCCTATTTATGTGTAATCGGTAATTTTATGGTGTTCTGCACCGGTGTGCGATGATTATCGCGTCACTTATAGGTTTGTGAAAGAGGAGGGATACGAGCGGGAGAAGCCAGATAGCACCGGACAAGAGACGAATGAGGCAACCGTTTTTCACGCGAATTTCCACCAATTCCTTGGTCACTTTTCTTCTGGATGACTAGATCATCCGTAAAGGCCTAAGATCAGTTATAACGCCGTGTTACTGAAATGATCAATCATAAGGATTGCCTTGCTACGAACCANTTCAAAAACAGACTAGACGAAGCTATGCAGGAGCATATGTTCAGTCTTAAAATGCCTAGCAAATTACGGAGCAGGCAATAAGTCCAGCAGCTATCTCAATCAATCGTCAGTTATGGAAAGATCGGGTTCCAAAGGCCGGATCCCTTGCGAATCAAGTCACGAAAAATTCAAAAATCGGCAACAGGCCATGGGCCTATTTCTTCAATGCCGACACTTCTATTCTATTCTTCTATTCTTTACTTCTATTCTCGTACACGTAAATCTGCTTCCTTTGCTACTAAAGCAAACGCAGACACAGAAGCAAATGCAAACAAGTTGTTGTTGTGTAGGCTGTTGCAGACTTAATCACAAAGGCAGACTGTCTGACCGGTAAAGTTAGCCGCAGCAAAAGTCATTTTCTAGCACACGATGTTTTCTCACAGTCTCCCCAGTAAAATATTATAGTTCTGTTCTATCAATATTCATCTATAGTATTTCCAGGTATCATTGTGCACGAGTATTCGACTTTCTCTACGATAGCCACACAATGACTTTCGTCCAATGATATAACAACTCTAAATAACAATTGATCAGTGTATTGAAGCATTAATACGTGTATAAAATCATTAGTAAATATTTTGAATCATTGATAACTGTATTGATATTTTAATAAGGTATAAAATCATTAATAAATGTAGCAAATCATAAATAACTGTATTAAACCATTAAAAAATGTTTAAGAGTTTACATAGTTACTTTTTTAGGAAAATAATCTGAATATGAATAATCAATTTTCCCAGGGTTGCCAGATGCACGAAAATGCAATATCATATGTAACTTCTTATGTCGCTTTCCTCACGATAGATTATTGTGTTGCCTGTATTGTTATCATCACCGTTATCATCACCGTTATCATCACCGTTATCATCACCGTTATCATCACCGTTATCATCACCGTTATCATCACCGTTATCATCACCGTTATCATCACCGTTATCA